TCAATATGGGGAAGGCAGTTCACAGGTCAGGCACCAAAGTATTTACCCTAGATATCTAATTTGCAATTCTATATTATAACTGTTCCTTAAAATTATTCCTACTAAGTCCTTTCACAACTCTGTATTTTACCAAGTGGATTTGATCCCTATTACAGGGAGAGGGCTTCTTCTGTATTTTCAACAGATGAGTTAAGAAAATACAGATTTTGCAGAGAGAGAGAGAGAGACGGGGGGGTAAATGAATTAATGAATTATATATATAAAGACTGATATTTCTTATATATCTGATTAAAATCATGACCCTATCTACAATAGAATCCTTGAAATGAAATTGCAGTATAGTAAAACTGTATCAGACCAACACTCATAAAAATTTAATGTCCTTTACATTTAAATTTCAATTAAGAAGAGATGAAACATTTAATAGAGTCAAGAGTTTCATAGCCACGGAAGAATATTTTAGTTTTGCTGTATGTCATGGCACATTCATATTTTGCATGTGTTTACAGAAAGTCTAAATTCAGAGCTTGAAAAATACAGAAGAAATTAAAATTAACCCAGAAGTGTTCAAAGTTCTTTATCCTTGTAATAATGTACAACTTTCCTCCATTTTCCTTAGCAAATGCTCCCTAAAATCCATTACCTTAACCTTGCATTTATGAATTCCTGCAGAATTACTGAACATATTGAAATGAAAGGTTTTCTTTTCAAAATACACAATTTCTATCACAACACTATCAGCACAAAAGGTCATTTATTAAAGATATAATATCCCACCTACTTAGTGAAAATAAATAAACAATAAAACAGACCATAAGTCCCAACCCATCAGCCAAATGGATTAAAAATTGGGTGGCTCACCTGATTGTGGCTGTCGAAATGTGAAAAGAATTTGGAAGCTAAACACAAAGTTTAGGTTGAGTAAAAAAGGAGTCACTCCCAAGAGGCATATGACCTCTGAGGAGACAGGTGACAGATGTGCCTATGGACCAAAATAAAATAAAGATCTGGCTAACCAAGCTGAGAAGGAATTTAAACACAAAAGCTCATGTTAGCACATGTTGGTGCCAAATGTATCCTGAAATCTCTCAGAGTAAAGCATTTTGATGAAATCAGGCAGTAAATGATAGAAGTGAAATAAAGACCCTCTGAACTCTACCTCTGACCACAGACCACAAATGCTGCCCACATTTTGCCACAACACAGACTGACATTGTACTCTGCAACAGATTTGAGGTGTTGCTGTTATTGTATTTTTAATGACTGGTAGGAATCCTAACAAAGCCTTGAATCAGCACAAACTACATTCTGGAGCTCTCTCCAGGAGTGAAATCAGGTGTCAGGAAAGACTAATGTGTCCACAGAAGACGAGGAAAGGGACCATGGGGGACGGAAACATGTTTGCGAGCAAAAATAAGATTATAACTCGCTTGTTATTAACACTGGCCAAGCCTAAACAGTTTTTTTTTTTCTTCCAGTTATTATTGAGTCATATGGCCACCGGCAGGAACTGTTATCACTTCATTTTCTGCAGAATGTTTCAGAAACTTGAAACCTCCCACACTTTCCCCATGTGAATACTCAGGATTTTTAAACAACCATGAAGTGTTTGTTTCCAAAATTGAATACATTTGATGACTGGGTAGCTGATCAATCACAAACTGTTTAGCAGGGAGAGTAGAGGAGAAAGAACTGAAAAAGTTACTAGAATAAAGGGCACATGGGCCAGATCTCTAGACCAGTCATTCAATGAATTCAATCAACATTAGTATGAAGGCAGCGTTGATTATAACTTTTCCTCTGTTTTGCTGTTCAGTCGCTCAAAATGGAGCACATTTGCAAAAGGACAGCCTGAAATGCTGAAAGTAGAGAAGCGACATCTCAAACAATTTGTTGTCACCTGCTGGGTTTTGCTCACCCTCACAAAGCATCTCCTTAACAGGAACATGAGGTGAAGGGTGCCAACAAAGTTAACCACCAGACATTTTGCCTATATTCTACCAACACCACAAATGAACCACCTAGATTTCAAAGTCTAGTGTGTGCTAGCAGTTTAATAGTAAAATGAATCCCTGATTTTTCTTAGAATGTTTTACAAATGAGACAACTATCTTAGGTGTTTCCTGAACAGTACCTCTTCTAAAAAATGGCAGCTAAACAGCCTCCCCTGGTGGTGCAAGCACTGTGAAGCGGTCCACAGCCTTTGCAGTGCCGCCTGTCTCAGAGCAACCTACATGGTGAGCAGACGTATCCTGTCTTGCCTGCTGCTCCCCTCAGCAGTGTATTTCGTCAGTCTGCATGTTCTGTTTCCCACTCTGTCTCTGGTGAATCCTCTCACCCTCCCGCGCATGTAGACTGTACCCTGGTTCTTGTATAAATAAATGAATAAATCTTAATAAATAAATTTTAAGCAAAGGTGTTAAAAATATTTTTTAAAAAATGGCAGCTAAAGCTTTAAGGCTATCTTAAATACCAGTGGATCCAAACTAATGTGTTAGTGAAAAAAGTGGAACACAGCTCCCTTAAAATTATAACTACCCTAGAAACTTTTGATTATGCTGTTGTAACATCATTTTCCCTTTCATCTACAAACAGTTCATGAGGACTCCTGCCCTTTGTCACCCAACTGGCTGAAGAAAGCTTTGTCCAAAGTGGATTTCCTCTCCTGCCAGTTCATTCCTTCCTGTGCTTTGGGCTAGTTTTTAAATTTTCACAGAGGTGGTCATTTCTGCTTAAGCAGCTGAAGTGTTGGGTTTTGCTAAAAGGAACTCAAAATGTAAAACATCAGGTTTCATAGTTACAGCCCAGTTAAGTCTGTTTTATAACAGATGCTAGCCAGAAATGCAAATTATTTCTACAAAGTTCTAATCCCATTATCAATCCCTTGAGACACACCCCCTTACCCTTCGTCTCTCCCCTGGCTATGGTTCTACATTTTTATTGCATGTTTTAAAAAAGAAAAACACTAGTAAAGCTACCCTAGGTTCTGGTTTAAGAGTCCCAAGAGATGACCCTGAGGTGTGGATTTGAGTTGCTTTCTAATTAAAAAGTCAGAGGGTCTGTTTCTCCCAGTGTCTGTGCAATGGATGCTTCGCTCATAGCTTATTGGCCTGCAGCCATTTAGCACCTGCCTCAATGAATCCTGTCCTGAGATAGGGTCCAGGAAGCAATGGAGAGCCAGGATATCAAAAAAAGGACTTATATACTTTAAATATATATACATTTTATAAAAATATAAGGAAATAGGGCCTCCCCGGTGGTGCAGTGGTTGAGCCCTGAGTTGCAAAGCTGCCCGCAGCCTCTGCAGCACCAGTTCAATCCCTGGCCGCCGGGCGAGAGTCCCACATGGTGTGCAGATCTCTCCTGACACCCGCTGCTCCCCTCAGCAGTGTACTTCATCAGTCTGCCTGTTCTGCTCCCTGCTCTGACTCTGGTGAATTCTCTCACCCTCCCATGCTTCTGACTGTACCCAGTGCTTGTATAAATAAATAAATAAATAAATCTTTAAAAAAAAAAAATATATGGAAATATATTTTTGAAATGTTGGAAATTTAAAGAGTACAAGTGCAATTTTCAAGGAAATGTCATTATAGAAAAAGCAATTTGAACAAATAAGAATCCAATATATTGAACTGTCTTAACTATTGATGAAAAACACCAATCATAAGCCTGATCTGATAAAGTTGTTTTTTGTTTTTTTTTTTTTTGAGAATGGCTTAATATACCTGAACTTCTCAAGCAACCAGCATCAAAATTTTTCTATGATGACTGTATTTCCTGCTGTTGGCATTTGATTGTTGCTTTAATTTCAGTTGTAGTAATTTAAAGGTTTTCAAAATTAAATCACTTCATCACAGTTCATAGTTTGTAAAAATACCTATTATAATGAAAAACTGTGCATCCTTTCAGAAAATGATTATTTTATTCAATTTCTTTCAAGCCTGTAAATCAGGGAATCCTTGTAGCAAGAAGACAGCAATTATATACAGATGCTGGAATAACTATAAACTGTGGATCTAGGACTGTGACATAGATCACAGTAAGAATGCAAAAAAGAAACTGAGAATAGAGCTGCTAGAAGTCACTCTTCTACATATTTCATCTAGAAATTATAAATCAGACTGCCTGAAAACCTAAGAACTTGGGCATACAAAAGTCTTGCTAGACCCTTGGCCTAAATTATGAGGAAATAATAATAGCTACAACAGTCTAAAAAATGAGTGCAAAAAAAATTAAGTGCAAAAAGGCAGTAATTAGTAAACTTTGAAATAAATCACATAAAGGCCACTTCTGTACATTATACATAATAAACATATATTTCTTATGGTGCATCTGTAAAATTCATTAAGATAGCCCTTGCCAGAGATTTCATGGATTACTAAAAATATAAAGTTCAATGAAATTCACTTCGCCACAAGATGCCACTCTGAAAAATGTTCCTTTCCATTGGATCTGGGCATCAGACCACAGGTAAGCTGAACCAGTGAGGAGTCGGCATGTGCTAATCCCGCTCTGTTGTCACACAGAAAGCTGCTCAGTTTCACAGTGAGCAGAACCCAGTGATGTGGTAACTCACTAGTCCTTGATTGAACACTCTATAAACCATGTAGTAAAATTAAGAAGTGAAGTCTTTATGGTTAGTGATTAATAAATCAGGTAAATTGTGCTCACTGAAAACTGACCAAGGGAAAAACATGAAAAGGGAAATACATTTGACTTAGTTTATGCAAAATCACAAACACATGACTTTAAAGAAAAGTAAGGTAAGTCTTTCACCCAGGGTTATAGGTCTGCCTTCAGTTATCTGCCTGCATTCAAGCTCCATCTCTGAAAGAGTTTTAGAGTAAGGATGCTCTGCACCGTGGGCCTCCTATGTTAGGTGGGGAAACACAGTGTCTGAAGAGCTGTCTCAGCCTACCTGAATATTCTGTTAAGATGACTGTCATCCTATGACCTAACACTGGAATCTCTTGAAATTCTGACATCATAATGATCTCCTCCAAGATCAAATAATTTTATTTAATAAAATAAAATTTCAGCAAGTTTAACTTCCTCTACATCATAAGTGTCCAAAATTAAGACCTAATTTTAGAAGTCTTTTAACTTCAAGAGTCCTTCACTTCCCTACAATGCTGACTTTGTAGCCTGAAATATCAAGAGTAAGTATAATTTTAAAATTCTATTTTTCCCTTTGCTGATTAAGGGAAATAATATTTTGCATTTGAAGCACTAAAGTCTTCCCTCACCCCTTAGAAAAATCCAGATAATAGAATGCCAAAGCTTTTATTCTGGTCAACAGGGACTGTATAATATCTTTTTCTGGTTCATGGGTGGGTAGTTTTGGCTAATAGCTAATTCCAATTGTTGTTATTCAAAGGAACAGATGCTAAAACAAAACAAAACAAAAAAAGTTTAAATACGTGGACAAGTTTTGACTTTTGAAACAAAGATATAAAATGAACTTTAATTGTGGCTGCTTTTTGTATTTGAGCAATCATTGTTTCTTACTGGGCTTCTATTTCCAGTAGCGGACAAATGCACTAATTTTCTCAATATGGAAAATGCCAGCATTAAAGCCAAATAAATTCAGGTTTAAGATAATTACACTAGATTTCATCAAAGCAACTTGGCACTCATCAAAATTCAGTCCGAGTTAGTTGATGAGATTTCATCAGGCTGCTTAAGAAGTAGGGAAATAAACAAAAGTGGAGAGACAATGAAAACAATGTGACAACTGTCAAACAAAATGCCGAGCACGACATTGAACATGTCCCTGAATGCAGTGATGAAACCACAAATCTTCCTTCCCTCCCTCCCTACCTCCCTCCCTCTCTCTCTCTCTCTCTCTCTCTCTCTCACACACACACACACACACACACACACGTACAAGGAGAACATTTTGAATTTTCAATCATCTTTAATTGAATATTCATATTACAATACTGATTGTGGAACCATTTGTTACTAAGGACTGGTTGCTGCAGAGAAGGTGGGCAATCTGGGGGTTATATGGTTAAAAAGTAAATTTTAAAATATGGGTGCTTAGGAGGTCACCACCCTTGTTTGAACTCCTTTAAGCAAGTTCTTAATAAATGTAAGCTATTACAAAAGGAATGGTTCAAATTAGGCATCTACCGATACAGTTTTGCAACTAGATATGCTCACATGTCATCCACCTGGTGGAAACTTTCACATAGTAGTTCCTGGGATACACAGGTCTTATGTTTCTGATAAAGGAGAAGCAGACTCGTAACTGCACCGCAGAGTGCTCTGCTTCAAACAGTGCTACAGAAGCTCATGGATAATTCTTAACTCAAAGCATATTTGATGACTGTATTAGGTCAATCTGTGCAGTTAGAGTTGAAATTATACCAAAGAGAGGAAGATCTGAAAATGCAACAGACACTTGACATTTGAGGCAGAAATTACTTTAAATTACTCAAGTTAGCAATACCATTCTCAACATGAAAATACAAGAATGCTACAAGAAATTTTTGCACACATGCAAGACAGAGGCATATGGTTTCCTTCTACAGGTTTTGACATAAAATGAAAAGAGAAGGAAAAAGGGATAGGAGTCTAAATACCCAGGGATTGGCATTAAATTACTCTTTACAATTTCGTTTTATTAGAAGTTTATTTCCTTTAGAATTTCAAGAAAGAAATAGTTTAGAAAATCGATTCCTCTATACAAAAGTATTTCGGAAAATATACTCTCCACATCAGCCAAAATCTGTTGTACATTTTCTATTGATAAGTCCAAGATAATAATCAGACTTGTTATTAATTCAAGTTTCTAGTTTGGGCCATTATCTTGGGCTAGACTTGCTAATAATGAAGTTAGGACCGTATCAATGACTAAAAGTGACCATGAGTATCTATCACCAAAAAGTAAGCAGAAAAGATGTGGGACCTGCCAGAATTTTCTCCTAGGAACAAGCCATTCCCACTGAATAGAATGCGCAAGAGCATTAGTACCTCAAGATGAAATAAAGTCGTATTTGGAGCACGTCATGTGCTTGTCTACCTTATACTATTTTTAACTACTTTTAATTTATATATCCAAATAAAAAAAAAACTATGATGAACAGGGGATTTTTTATTAGTCCATCACAGAATCTTTCAGAATCCACTATAAATTTTAGATACATTACTTAGTTACCACAGTGCTTACTTTCATAGCACTATTTCAGAAGAAGACACTGGGAAAAAAAAAAAAAAAAAGGCCAGTCACCATAGAGAATAGAAATGAGATAATATGAACAATCCTAGTTGTATTACCTCAAGGAATTCCCAGGTATTACTATGGACTGAAAAATAAAGAGGTTGCATGGGAGAAAGAACTCTGCATGATGCCTGAGTGAGAACCAAGTGATGCCTGAGTGTCTACCATTACCTGGGGGATTCATTCAGCCTCTCTGCATCTTAGCTTTCAACATGTGAAATAGGATTGTGAGTCCATCTTTAAATTTTTGTTTTATAAGAAGACATTCTTTTTTTCTAAAGAAAATTAAGCAGAACCACCATAATATAAAAGGAAAAAATAACGTAAAACTAGTGTTGTTCAAACAGGGTGGGAGACCAGATCTTTACCTGCTAGGCTCCCCAGCCAGCCACAAAAGCAGCCCATACCCCAAGGTTTCCTGCATGGAATCTAGATTCACTCTTGAATCACTCCCTTCTGTAAATCCTACCCTCTCTCAAGATTAGATTACTCTTAGTAACATATTTAAGAAACTGAACTTCCAATGTGAAAATTTCCTTAGGTCCAGTGAGGCAACATGCATTAATGAATTTGTTCTACATTTCTATCACTATTCCTAATTTTAAACTCATTGATTCTTTATTAATTGGGTGGTTAGCTTACTATCAACTCTATCAAATGTTATTACCAGGTTTTAGCTGCTTTATCTGCTGAGTTTATTCCTTCTCCTTATTTCTACTCCTTTTACCCTAATTTTTCCCTTTGTACTATCTGACATGCTCCCAATAGATTTTTCCATATTTACATAAGTTGTAGCCAATCTACACCTCATTTCCCCCTCATATTTGCTCATTCTATATTCCCTCTTCACCCCCAGTCCTCCCAGGAATAATATTTAACTTGTGTACCTTATGTTTTCAGAGTCCTCCCAACTGGCTGATAAGGACACCCATCAGAAGGTTAACATCAAAAGCTAAGCTAAATAATAGGGAATGATATATTCAAGAATATTGGTACGTGGCAAAGGGAAGCAGCAGTTAGATAACAGATATGGTTCAGTTAGCGTGAACGTAAAATAGGCCTAAATTAAAAAAATAAAACAAACTGCACTAATACAAACTGGGGAATGACTTGGCTTAGAAAGTTGGCAGAAAAAGACACCAAAGGTCACAGTGGACCACAAGTCAAGGCAGAATCCTGCACTCTTTAGAAAAGCAAGCATAATGGGAAAATGCATAAACATCAAGACCTATAAGGTCCTCTGGTAATTCTCCCAAACTCAGACTCTGCTTAATGGTCTACCCCAATTCTCAGATGTGCAATCTACCTTCTTACTTACACCTTACCAACACAATCTTCAGCCACTTCCATTTTTAATCATCAGTGTCCTGTTAAGATACCTCTGTGTTCAAGTCCCCCTTTTGAGCAGTGGTTCTCCACTGTGAACAAGGGAAAATTTACAATCCTGTGTTGCCCACAGAAGACCTCACACTTAATACACAACTTATATTTTTGCTGTGAATTTCTGTAACTTTCAGTACTTAACCCTGGGCTTCCACCAGGTTCTTCTGCCCATCCTTTCTTAGACACGAGAGGCAAACTCGAATGTTCACATCTTTCCTGACAATGTTCTTTCTGTGTAAAATGATCCCCTCCCTTTTTAAAGATGCTTTCAAACCACTCCCTCCTAATACAGTTCTGCTTTCCAGGAAGCATTCCTTGGACACAATAGCTAAAATAATACTTTTTTTCCTATAATGGCAGAGCCTATAAGAATACTTATATTTAAAAGTTCAACAATGCTTTTTTTGTTTTGTAATGTACATTCTCTTCTTCAATAACTAGACCATAAACCAACTCTTGTTTGTATCACCTCTCCTCCCAATATGCCCATTTCTCAAGAACGTAGGAATTAATAGATGTTTAAATAATTGATTCAATGAACCTACAGGCATGGCAACACAAACATAATAGACTCACAGGAAACTCAGCTCTAGCTCTTTCCATCTAAATTATATTGGGGAAGTAGGTTCAAAAGAGGAATTAGAAGGCACTTTGTAACATATTCTAATACAGCCATCTCAAAAAGAGGGAGGGAGCGCCAAAGACCATAGGGGATGGATTGTGGGTGCTTTGATAGTACCTGTGGTATTGTAAGAGCACCTGAAGGGGGAGAGCTTATATCTCTAGAGTACAAGTAACTGGGTAAACCAATGTTAACTCAAAAGTATATACATATATGTATATGTTTGTATAATGAACTCATTTGAAAAAGTTAAGTCAGTTCAATTCAGTAAGCATTTACTTAAAATCCACATGATTCTCACATATCAAATAGTTTTGACAGATTAAAATAATCACAGGTTAGCCCTGGAGAACAAAAATCACAAAAGGTTATTTAAAATACTAATGCATAACTTGAGATAATCACCAGAAATATGCAACTCCTGATCTTGTTTTAGAATATCTTTCTATGTAGAAAAAATATCTTACCACCATTCTTATTGACAAGTTCAAAGGTAACTGATCCTCAACACAAATGCAAACTTTCTAGATTATCTAAGTACCATGAAGATCTTAATGTATTCAACATTCACTGAAAGACCCAACTGGACTGATTTCATAGGGTCTATGCCTCTAGTGAATTACATTTCACAATGATACTTTCAGCTTTCATTGGGAAATAAACACTCCTAAGTTGCCTTCTGGGAACATACATTTGTGATGTGGATATTGTTGAGAATAATGTTCACCCACTACTCGTTATTCTGAATGTGTTTCCCCATTGAGGAAATATGTTTATTTCTCCATATTTCCATATGGAGAAATATGTGTGTGTATATATGCAGATATGTGTGTACATTCAGATAGATAGGTGCATGCATCTATGTACAATTGTATGTATGACCACTTTCATGCATGTATACATACATAGTTCAATGATTTTTCTCTCCAAAAGTAAAGCTGATATTATATTCTATAATTAACTTAATTAAGATAACAAAAACCATACATACTTTTTTTCTTTGCCTAGAAAAGTCAAATTTTTGGTTCAGTTTGTTAGCTCAACCAACGTATATTTGTATGGTCCATTTTCTGTACTGTTCTGAACAAAGTTTTCCCTAGTTTTGATCTTTTAAATTTATTTTGGTTTACCATTTTATGTTATCATTAAATTTTTGAGTAATCATTAAATCTTCTAAGGCTGTAACATCAATTATTAAATGTCTTGATTATAGAAGTTCAAATATTTTACCTCTATTTTCTAAAGTCCTCAAATATAAGAAAGTAATACTGATTCTTAGAGACAGTGAGTCCAAGCATTATATAAATGGGTCAATAATAAAGCAAAAACAGCTGCCTTTACATTTTAGTTTAAATTAGTGGTAATATCTTCTGCCACCTGAACTTTTATGTCCCTCTCTGTTGCAAAATGTAATGTTATCATCTTAACCACTTCTGTCTGATGACATTAGTCACACTGAGATTTAGTAAAAACTCTGTCATTATTTCCATTAAAAAGTTTCTCTGCCTCCTGATACTGGAGGAGACCCACACATCCAGCTGTATAAGTCAGGCCAGTAGCTGGAGAAGGATTTACAGGAAATCTCAATGAGCAAACTGCTGGCTCTTTTTTTATCAACACCAGAGGAGTGTCTGATGAGGAAAATAATGTGTTCTCAGAAACCACTAGGGAAGTTATACTTAAAACTTTATCTAAGAAGGAAGAAAAATGTACCCATAGAAGAGGGAATAGAGGGTGCAAACCTACCACTGAAACCATGTGTGTCCTATTAAAGTTGTTTTTATTTTAGAGAGTTGTAAAAATTGTTTTATATATTTTACATTAAGATCAGAGTAGCTTACTGCTGTGTAAAATTCATAAAAGAAAGGCCCCTTTGGAATTTTCCTGTCCTTGCCTTGTTCTGCATAGAAAGTTGGGCCATTGGTGGCATGTGTAGTTAAGAAATCCTTTTTACAAGTCCCCATAAAAGAGACTAGTACATGTTGCTCCAGACTATAATTAAATGAGACTAGTAGAGATTCCAGATGGGAATCTGCAGAGAATGGCACAAAGGTGTGGTTTCTTTCACTCTCTTATTCTCTGGCCCCTCTGGCAAGCGAGTCTGGCATTTTGACAGGCTTAAAATGAAACTGGGGAAAGAGTTTCTTCTGTCCATTCCCTTGGGTCCACATGATGGGTGCTTCGCACACCTTCAATTTCTATGTCTAGGTCCGAGGTGGCCCTTAATTTTGTCCTCACTGGGCATGATGTCCCACTCATAGCATTGAAGCCCACTTTCCTGCTCCCCCTTTTCCTTAGACCCTCAGCCTCTCAAATATTGAGACTTAGTAAATGTGAAATAAACCACTGCTAAATAAAAGCAAAAGATACCACCAATAACAGTTGATGATCAGTTATCTACTACCCACTGCCCAGGAAGCAAGTAAAAAAAAGAAAAGTATGAAGTGGCAATGAGACTGGAGCACAGCAAGGGAGCGACTACTTCCCAAGACAATGCCTAAACATTCATTGTTAAGAGTGTCAAGTGGGAGTTTTGGATGCTTTAGTTACTAAGAGCAGTGTTTGGAGGCAGGTGGGTTTGTGTTAAAGACAAATTTTGTATAACAGTTATACTTTAGGGGCCTCCCCGCTAGTGCAGCGGGTTGAGCACAGCATTATGAAGCTGTCCGCAGCCTCGGCAGAGCCGGTTTGATTCCCGGCAGGCCAGGGAGATTCCCACATGGCACAGCAGACCTCTCCTGCCTTGCCCACGGCTCCCCTCCGCAGTGTATTTCAGCAGATCTGCCTGCTCTGCTACCTACTCTGTCTCTGGTGAATCCTCTCACCCTCCCGTGCCTCTGACCTGTACCCCAGCTCTTGTATAAATAAATCTTTAAAAAAAAAGTAATAATACATTAGGGGCCTCCCTGGTGGTGCAGGGGTTAAAGACAGCACTATCAAGCTATCGGCAGCCACTGCAGCATGAGTTCAATCCCCAGCCAGGGAGCTGACCCACATGGCACAGCAGACCTCTCCTGTCTCGCCTACTGCTCCCCTAAGCAGTGTATCTTAGTAGATCTGCCTGTTCTGCTCCCCATTCTATCCCTGGTGAATCCTCTCACCATCCTCCCCCCACACCTCTGGCCTACACACTAGTTCTTGTATATATAAATAAATCTTTTTTAAAAATAAATATACATAAACATTTGAATAATTTCTACTTATGGGTGACTGTCTCAGTTGACAATAACTATTAAATAAACATTAACTTCTGTGTGTCCAGAGTAACTGGGGAATAGTACCATTTACTTAAAGTAACTATCACAAATCACTGATTTTAAAAGAAATACAATATTCAGCACAGCAAACAAGGGTAATATTTCCCCTTTTTCCAATGCTCGTATTCATATAAAAATTGCAATATCTGCATTCCTGATGACTCTGAAAGTTTCAAAAAACAAAAAAAGGAGATTGTTCTCTTATCCCTTCTATTCTAAACTACCCTTGAGGTCAGGCATGTATAAAACAGACCACATAAATTGCAACACAAATGTAAACAAAATGTAGAGAAATAAAGAACATATGTCTAAAGCATATTTTCTTGACCCTATCCTACTGAAAATGTGCTTATTTCCTGCTCTTGGTTTAATCCATCACAATCTACAACCATCTTTAGTTATATTATCTAATACCTAGTCCACATGTTGCTGTCAGTTTATATACAGAAAACAAAGATTAGAATGGCTTACTACTGTTGCCCTTTAAAAAGTAGATGTTTGCAGAGATTAAAGGTTCTGAGTTGCTAAATAATATTTGCTTTTATTTCCTACCAAGTTCAAAGTCACTTTAAAAAGTCAATCATGGTCAAGTAATGTCTCATAAGAGGAATGAGTTATTTTCAAATTTAAATAGTATCTAGTGGTTTTTCTCTTTTAATAGATTTGCTATTTAAATTTTCTCATAGTACCAAGAAAACACAATTGCATGATAATGTTACTAACTGCAGTATGGCGGGTTGAGGCAACAGTGAGCAACAGAAGAGAGTTAGCTGTCCCAGCATTATCAAAGTATCAGCTAGAAGACTTTAGTCAAAAGCTGATGGACACAGAACCACTTGATTTTGGGGTGGGGCCCAGATACCAGGGCTTCTGTGCAGGTCGGGGTGGGGGGCTAAGAGGGAGGAAAAGGTGCTAGGTGTGTTTCCACCCAAGGCAGACACAACTAGGAAGTCAACTCAAAAGATGTAGGATAGAAAGTACAATCTTGAAGTCACACTGTTTTCTCAACAAACTAAGGATCAAGACACTAAGATTGAAGAAGGTGGCCTTAGGAGAGGCAGCTAAATGAAGCAAAGCCAGTGACTCAACACTTTGGCTCACTTTATAAAGTGAACTTTGGGGTATTTTTTCACTAACTACTTCAAGTTGGAAGATGTTGGAAGGAGGTGATGATGCAGGGTGTTGTTTCTAAAAAATATAGAGCAAAAATAAGATGCTATATTGGGTTGGAGGGATAAGAAGTTTAAAGTTAGCTACGTCGATGCTAGAAGACCATTGTTTTATCTTAGTTCTTTATTACAAGGAACAAGAAAGCACAGGGGTTGTTCCCACCACCAGATTTGTTATGTACCAGCTTGGACCAGTCCAAGCCTCCCTGATTCCCAGTTCCTTTCTCTTCCCTAATATGTAGCAGAGAAACAAGAATATTCACAAACACAGTCATTGAGTCAGTAGCTTTTTTTTTTCCATTAGATATTTAAGAGATTCATTGAGATCTCTGGTCAATTGTTATCCCCTCAATTTCCCTGAGCCCCCTAAATAATATACACTCCCAACCCAAACATGCACTAACTCCTTACCCTGCTTTTGTGCTTTTAGTGACCCCAACTCCACATGCAATTTTGCACTCATCTGCTTACTTCTTTATCATCTTGATTCCTAATAGAAAAAAGTTCATTGAGCCATACCATGCCTAGACCAATGAGTGGTACCAAGCAGTGCTCAATAACTACCTAATAAATAAATATGTGTTCATGGGACAAAATACAAACAATGAGTTTTACAGAGACAGGACAGAATATTTCAGGTTGAGGTTATGTTGCCAATTCTATGAAAAGAACAGTGTAACCACCTCCAAATGATCACATTTGCTCCTGTGCTTGAGTATTTTCCCACTTCATACCTCAGCAATCATGATTTTGTTCTTCTATTTGTCGTTTCAATACATAATAGCATGTTTTTATTTTTCTAGTATTATAATATACTGTCTAATGTACAACATGGTCCAAAATTGAAGTTCTTCCTTTAAAGCCTAGATAATAACTGAACTGAGGGGAGAGAGAGGGTAAGGAGTGGAGGGGTAGGGGCTCCAGTGCACCATGGTACAGAGAGCTATGGGTAACATGTGGTGGGTGTGGTTTGGTAACACATCTGAAGAGGTGTGGACCAATACCTTTGAATCACATATGGTATTACAAATCAATGTTATCCCAATTTTAAAAATCCCTACAGATTCTATATTAATGGAATGAATTCATCCTGACAGTATTAATTCTATTAATTCTATAAAGTATGCACAGGGTGGAGGGAAGACAGAGCTGCAACATTATGAAGGCAACTTCATTTTTAATTAATCCATCCTTCTACCCCCGGTTTTCTATACTAATTGTTCAATATTTTTCTCACACTTACAGTCCATCTTTTTCTTTTTCCCATGGTTTTTATGCTCGCCTCTTTTTTCTCTTTCTCTATGCTCTGGCTATCTTGGTAAGGAAACCACAGATCACTGATTAATCTCAAGTCCTGCTTAGTATTTGCTAGCTGACTACCTGTGAGAGAAGGGGGGAGGGCAGGGTAAGGCTGCCAGATGTGAAAGGTTTGGCAAATGCACAGCACAGCTCCTCGGAAAGCGTGCAGTTCTCTGAGCAGTGCTCTGAGGCTTACAAATCTCTTCCTCACCCTTCACATGACAACCACAGACCTTGCCTGTATCTTTTGGCAATTAGTCTCAGAATCACTGGACTTTAGCACTAAACAGGACTTTCGAGATCACCTACCCCTATACCCTCAATTTACAAATGAGGAAATAGAGGCCAAAAGAGGTTAAGTGACTTGCTGAGGGTCACAGAATGAATGGGTTGACAGGGTGCAGAAACCCAGATCTCCTGCTCACCAGACCAGGCTCATGAAAAATGAGTGTCAGAAGTATCCCAGAAATTCCACAGGTTCTGTCATCAGAAATGAAAGAAAAGATAATCGATGAAAAACAAAAGCTTAGGAATAAACACTGAGTAAACTCCAAGTGTAAATCAATTCAGACCTTAGGATATTTCCAGGTATTCTTTCCTTTAAAAAAAAGGCAAAAAAGCATATGACGATTCAGTACAAAACAAGCGAGTGCACTACGTCGCTGTTTTTTAAATCCCACAGACATTTATTTTCTCCTTTTTAATAGTTTTCAGTGTAATATCTTATACACTTAGTGACTATTCCATTACACTGACCTCTAGCTTATGCCTTCCAGTAATCGAAAGCAGCTGATTTTAATGTGCCGGTGCTTTAGTGTGAAGGAGGTTAAGGCTGCGTTTGTGTGCAATCAGGTTAAGTGACTCCAACAGGAGAAAAATCCATACATATGTTGCAAAGATCTGAAAAATGCCTGTATTCCCAACCTGATTACGACTTGCATTTTTGCATGGTTTGTCAAAGCAGATCACTGAAATCAAATCAAGATGTAATATGGGATAAAGTGGTTTTCTTCTCCATTCTTCCATTAATCACCGTGAACTACTGAAGAAAGGAACGTTTCCCTCTCACCTGAGGCGAGGTGGGATACTCCACTGGAAGTTATGCCAATTTTTATCAGTTGGTGCTCAAGTTCCAACATTAATTTTCCTAGTTTTCATTTCCTACATGAGTATATAGGAGCTATTTTATCGCAGGGTAATCTTCTATTTCTATCAATAAATGAATCCCAGTTCCTTTTGTAAAACAAAACAATGCAATCTCAATGTAACTTTTAAAACTACTGACTTTATACAAATGTATATGCAAATATATACAAATTATATACAAATAAAATCCATTAAACTGAAAACATAGATGTTGTGTTAAAGTGATAATTGGCCTCACCTAATAAATAATATCTGACAAAACCTAAATACAGACTAAATCAGAGTGTTCGTTATTGGTTCACTTGTCAAAAAAGAGAATATTGCCAGGTCATACATGAGCATTGATTTGGAATAATTTAAGTTGCTGACCATGTCCGATTATAATGCTATCAAGACTGACTTTGGAAGCATAAAAACACAAATGCAGTAGCCATCACACATTAACCATCTAGCCTTATCTACAAAATCCTCAGACAAGACTGGGGTTGGGTCAAAATATTTTGGAGGGGATGAGAACATGCAGCTCTTGTCACACATAAGCAAGTTTGTTAGAGAAGCATTTTCAGGTTAATTTTTGCTATTAACGTAAACCACAATTGGGGGACCATGTTGCTGGAAAAGGAATGGGGGTGGTGGTTATATAAACATTATACAACAAAGAAAGTCTTTCTTTCCAATACCTGAATACATCAGGTTTGTTTTTAGGCACCAGGTTGCAGGTTAAATGCTCTCAGCTATCCAAGAAGTGGCTTATTAGTTTTGTAAGAAAATATTTTCTTATATTTCGACTGAAAAATACCCAGTTTAAGTGAACAAAACCATCCTTGTTAGTGAAAAGCAGACCTAAAAAAACCTCTGTTTCAAAAGCCCAGCATAGAAAAGCAAAATTAATTCAAGAGGAAAAGCTGCTTTCCTAATAGTAGCTTCTGAATCTGGATCTAATAGTTCTCAAAGGCCAACTAGAGTCTTCAAGTCTTAAAAGTTTTGTCTTCCTACATGGATCATAGACAGTCTCCATGAGGCAGTCTAATATGGATATAAATCCATTTTAAGCAGGTATCTATTCTCTCTCTGGGCCATGACCACCAAGTGAAAAGCTATACTCCAACAGCAAGAATGAAGGCAAAAAAAAGTTTTGATTATTTTACAGGGCAATTTCCAAACATAACCTCCTTTCCTGCTTTTCTATTCTGTGCACTAGAAAAACCCCAACTTCATCTTTGGCAAAGCAGCATCCGCTAGTGATAAAATAAACAGTAACTAGCGATTATGCTTTAAGAACCACAGTGACAGCTAAGAGCTGCATTTCAACATACTGACTCAGCGTCAGCCAGCACCTGAGCTATGTTCGCTTCTCCTAATTTGTAAATGGGCCTAATCCTGTTATTACAGAATAATTACTGCAAATCAGCACAATTACTACAAAGACATGAATAAACACACACATACCAGTAGCTGTTTTCTACAAATTATTATCAAAACAAAGAAAACTGGCTAATTGTAGTAACATTAAGACAACATTTATTCCCCCCAGTGTTTGGGCAAGTTTATTTTAAGTTGTCATTTTCAACTAGTAATGATGCAGATGATTTTACAGATTCCATAAACCTTTCTAATCTAAACTCTTCTCAACTGAAAGTTGGCCCCTTCCCTCAGCAACATCTGCAAAGACCTGATTTCATAAGAACCCACATTTATAGAACACTAGCAAAAAGAAAAAAAAAAGCCAACTTTTAGAAATCTCATTTGTAACCTCATGTTCTAAATTATTTTCAAGGTACCATGAGAGTAAATGCAATATTTGCTTTATATTCTTCACAATTTAAACATTTCTTTCTAAATAAGTACAGTATAGAACTTTTTCCTCTCGCCAAGGTTATTATCAGGTCTCCTTTTTTGATAAATAATCTTTATGGAGGGGGTTGTGATTAGGAAGGAAGAAAACTTAGAAAGGACTCACCACCTGGACAATGCCTCACGGCCATCTTACACCTTCTGGATTCAGCAATGGTTGGACAGGGTATCGTGTCTTTTGCCGGCTTTTTAACAATTTGCCGTGTTCTGGTTTCCAGACCCCATTTAAATCCACATGTGCGGTTATTTCTGCTACAAGTTCCCCATTCACTCCAGTGACCAACTTCACATCCTTCTAATAAAGATGAAAGAAAAAAATACAAACACAGATAACAATTTGATATCTATTTGCTCCACTGTCATCCAATTTATATAGTGTTTCCCCACTACCCTGACCTTCAAATACAAAAAGGTAAAGCATATAGTCCGTAAGCACCTATCTTAACCTTTTGGGAACTTTGATTCTTTGAACCATAGGGTTACTTTTGTTCACAACCAATTACTGTCACACAATTTAAAAATTAGAATTTTCTATTTGTCTTAATTTGTTTTTTGACAAAATGGTCCATTTTAAAGACACTGAAACATATGACCTTTAAAAGATTCAACAGCTAAAATTTACAGTAAAGACCTACTATTTTTGTACCATGACAGAAGACTAAATTTTACTAGTTAATTCTCAATGCTCCTCTACCCACCCTCAAAAAAATTCACCGATGTGTTTATTTTGAGAATATTTGGTGAAAAGGATGGGAGTTTGTTTTGCCTTTTCTGATTCTCAAAAGTCTTTAAGGAGGTGTCTGGATACCACAGTATGTATTTGATCCCCTAAACTGATGCTATACCTTTCTATAGTTTGAAAAGTAAAAACAAGGATGATCAAGTAGTTGAAGATGTGTTTTTCCTACATATGTAAATGCTTTTAGCATCTCCTTTTTGCAAATTCATACAATGAAAAAGTAGGCTACCCTCCAACCCACTAGGTTGTAGGGGGTGGGGGTGCAGGGATATAAGGATAAAAATATGCAGTTAAGCCTCATCAGGGTCACCATTAACATGTATTTCACTCTAACAGATGAGGACTGGGGTCCAGAGTCCACAAACAATGAATATTCCAGCATTCCAGATGTCAGTAGACATCATGGTTACTCAGACTTCTCAAAACTATTTTAGATTTTTATTCAGGGAAGTGCATAGGACTCTACTTGTAATTTGTGTTAGAATTTAGGGCTATGTAAGAGTTTCCTTTGAACATCTGTAATGGGTGGGGATTTGCCTTTCGAATGCAAATTTAACATTTTGAATCTGCTCCTCTAGTGACTTTCTTATAATAGGGTGTCACCTTTTGAATGTATAAACTCACACATAAATAGGAACATAAGTATACATTTCTTCAAAAACTTCTCATTTAAATGTGTTCTCTACAAGCTTTCAGATCAATATGACTGTTTCAGCAATATTTTCTGCAGAAAGAGTTTTCACTTTTTTTTGTCCATTTTAAGGAGATGGGAAGTCTCATTTATAATACATAGCTCTGTTGTACATATTAGACAGATGCACAAATATCATTTGGGGTGGATGCATGTGTACATGGGCAGTGGTTGTGAAGATGCCATTATATCTGGGGTCAGATTCAGGCAGTCATCAAAATGTCAGCACGGGGAGATTTTACCTTTTAATTGGTAATATAAAAACACCAAAATGTTTTTCAAACAATAAAATAAAATTAATTATGTACCTCTAAGTATTATTATTCACAAATGGTATATATTACATGTATGTATTGAATCATGCATTCCAGGTATTAAATTTGTAAAAGTAAAATCATTGATGCATTTTTCAATATACAGTCCATCATCAATAAAATACATTTGGCAGGAAAAGTTTCTTTCCACATTTTTTTTTTTGGCTAAGCATAAGAAGGTCCATGTCACAACAAAAGTGATAGAATAGTCAACCTACATGGCACTGCTGTAAAATTTTGTTTTTCCTCTAAGTAAAATGGTTTCCTCTAAGTGTTTATTAAGATAATTAAGAAATGGCTTATTATACAGATGATAAAAACATTATCAGCACTTAATCAAGCAAATGTACAACTAGCAGATTTTGTAGCAAGATGTAATGACTCCCCAAAACTAACAAATTCATAAGGTTGTCAAAGAACTTAATTTTGGATCTAATAAACAACGAGAGCCAATTTGTTTTTAGGTTGACTATATTGAGCATGCTTTTTTTTTTTTTAAAGAAACAGGTGTTAAAAAAAAAGTTGAAGTTTGAGAGTTATATGAAAAACTACTCACCCACACATTCCATGGTTTCATCTAATGGTGCAAAACCATCTGGACATTCATCAAAGCAACGGCCTCTATGCAAATAAAAGCCTACTTTGCACTTGGTACAAAAGTCTTTGCTAAAGCAAGAATCACAGTTTTCTATTCTGCATCCTAAAAGCAATTTAAAGAGAAAAAGAGAAAATTTTCATCAAAGAAATGTATTTGTTTTGCAAATAAAACGTTCACAAACTCACCGGTTAACTCAATGGAAATTCTAGTGGTCAGAGAAATATGTGTTCAACTCATTTGTTTCCTAATGCCATCTCATCTTAAATAACTCCTACCTCTTCCAACAGCTTACCACATCAATGGGCTAAAACAAAAGTCCAGCCCAGAGCCCTAGGCAGCATGCGACTCCAAATGGGATTAAAACAAAGGATTAAAAAGCAAAAGAAAACACCCCCATTACAAATTACTTTGCTGCTGGTATTGAAATCTGTTCTTCCCTTCAAAAGACCTCGAATGAAAAACACACAAAATACTCTAACCAGTATCTTCTGTTTCAGGACAGCAAATGAAAGTTCTCTTAATTTTTTAACTTAATTTAAATGTAATCTTTCATTTACTTTTTAATTTTTAATTAAAAAGTAACTTCAATTTTTTAATTTAATTTCCTGGCATCATTAATGCTGGAATCTACTTTCATCAGAGGGTGTCTTAACTTGGAGGGGGACTTTTCGGACATTTTTTGGGGGAAAACCTGCAATGTGCTAAATAAAGGTTTTGCTAGCATTTCCAGTTAGCCTTCATAATAACCCTACCAGGCGGGCAATAAGGAACCTGTCACATAGCCAGCAGTGGCAGAGTTGGTTCTAAAAGTACCCCCAAACCTTTGCTTTCTAAATCTGTTTTTTTCCTCTATAGAGCACTAAGTGATTTCTCTAGGAGTAGTTAGTAGAATAGAGGTGCTTTTAGGTCTGTTAGGTTTGGTCTTGCATCCAGTTTTCCCTTTACCAGCTCTATGACTCCAGACAATTAGTGCCCCTCTGAGCCTTTTCCCTCCTATATAAAACAGGGACATGAAAGACCTTACAAAGTTTTTGTAAGGATTTGTAATAATGTACATAAGTTGATTGACTCAGATAAGCAATACGCACAGATAGAAGTGACAGTGGATTAGAAACATGTATTTTTCTAAATTGCACACGTTACAACAAGGTAAAAAAAAAAAAACAATAATTTACAGACGGAATTCTAGGTCAGATTCCCTCGTAGGGCAATAGCATCTGGGTTAGACATCACTGCCGAGAGCAGGTGAAAATAAATACACGTTAAAGTACTCTTTGAGGATAGAAGGTTGGAGGACTGGTTAATTGAAAGGTCAAGTTTTCAACAGATCATAGTACATTATTACTTGTAACGTTTAATTGATGACCATTAACAGCATGTGAAGCTCTATGAAAACTCCATGGCACCGCTTTCATGGAGTAGAAAATGTAACCACAGTGTGAAATCACTGATTATTAAAATTTGAAAATGTAGAAAGTAGAAATTAAAGGCTAAAAACAGTTACATTATAAACAAGTTTCTAGACCTATAAAAAGAAAATGGCACCTCCTGGGCTTTCAATTTTGAATCTAAATAGGTTTTCATATATTCAAAGAACACCACAAAGTTGCTAATTCAACGCCTAAAATATTACCAGACTGGAAATGTTACAACTAGAAAACCAGCTACTTGTGTGGGTGAAGTCCATAGTCAAATTACACCACTGCTCTTCGGGATAAGGGGGATGGTGGACCCAGAAGAACAGTTTATTACCCCATAAAATGTTCATTTGTTCTCTTAACTGCTATAACCTATATTTTAATAGAATGGGTGCACCCTGGTCAGTAACTTCTTAATCATGGTCAAAATACATAACCATCATGTCCACAAATTTTTGGGTTTTTTACTACATTTTTTTAAAAAGCAAGCAGCCCTCCTCAGTGGAATTATTTTCCATGAAATGATAAACATTTCAATGGACAAAAGAGAACTGAAGGGTAAAGAGAACAAAGAAAAAAAAAATATATATATAGTAAAGAGAACTACACACTTCATAAATCAGCTGTTATCTACATGGTCTGATTTTCCTTTAAAACCTGGCCTGCACCAAAATAAGCTTTTTGGCCAAAAAGTTATAGCAACAAGCATTTGGAAATAATTTTTACAAAGTCCTTCACTGATCTTTGCTGTTACTTGTAGCTCCTATCCCTCGTTTCATTCCATGTGCCTAATGCCAGTTCATGGAATGTGGAATATTCGAAATACCTATCATTCTTTGTGAAGTCCCATAGGAATTCCTCAGGCATAAATTCTATTAGAAAAAAAATGATTTGTTCTCAAATTTGAGTAAAAATATGATGCATTCAAATTGTAGCATAATGCAACCACAAAAAAAACCACAAGGTGGATTATAAGCAAGACTGAATATAAACTGTCAGACCTATTGTTAAGTGAAAAAGGCAAGTTGCAAGTATACACAGCATATGCTGCAATAAATGTGTGTGTGTGTGTGTGTATGCACATATGTGTATAGGAAGCACAGCTTAGAGAAGTTAATTTGGGAATGGGGTGTTAGAAATTTGAAATATGTTAGAAATTACATATTTCTGAATCATATAAATCTTATACAATTGTAATACATTTATGTGTTAACAAATAAAGTTACTTTGATATATATTAGTGATTTATTTAAATTACAGAAAATAGCACTATATTAACACTCTGAAAGAAACCCTTTTAATTTTAACAGGCAAGAAAGAATATAATCCTATTCCAAAACAGCAGACTAGGGTGCATGAAATTATAGCTCCTCTCACAGGAGAATGTTAAACTGCCTTCACCTTCAAAATACACAATCCTTTGACCATCTATTGCCAGTATTCTTTGTTTGCCTGTGTTGAATGACACTTTCCCCTCACTCAAATCATAAGAAGAAAAAATAGTTTCTTTGATAAAGCATTGAAACAAATGCTTTGACTGGTGCCAAGTCAGAACACTCGAAGTTTTGCTGACCTTCCAGGGCTCAGCTGCCACCATGTAAAAGCGATGCAGGCGGCCACACACTCAGCCGCCTAAACTGACAAGTCATCACCAACACCTATGAATGAGTGTGTGTTCAAGCCACTGCACAGCCACCGCCCAAGGCCTGCTGTGTGATGTGCTCAGCACCTGGACAACTTTGTCACCAGTGCTAGGTCCATGCACAACCCCTGCCCTGTTCAGCCACTTCAGGAAAGAACCTTTCTGCTTGGAGAAAAGCACTATTTGAGTCTCCTAGCTCTTTCTCATCCCATCTATGACCACTCTTCCAAGAGCTTCTCAAGCTTATTTTATTTAAATAATTGGGGCTCACATCAACTCTGTGAACTCATTTTTATATAAAAGCAAAGCATTGTCATTAAAATCAAAATTCAAAATAACACACAGGCATAGAGGAAAATCTAGAAAAACCCTTCAACACTTGAATGGCCAATGGCTTATTCCCAGAAATTAAAAATTCCAGAAAATCTCCATACATTTTATAAACAATTTCTTAAACACCAGTGGAATCACACAATCGATTGTTGAGCTTCAGAAAACCTTATGTTGCTTAAAAGAACAGCAATCAAAGCTTACTAAACACGGGTTTGTTCTATAAAAATCTGGCACGTAAGTTCTTGTTCAGAAATATAAGACCCTGGCTTAGCCAACTTACATGCTTCTAAATTACAGTGCCTCCTCAAAAATGTAATCCACCGAAAGGGAATGCCAATATCGGTTTAAGTAAAATTACTGTCCAAGTGGAACTGTGTCCAAATGGAGTCTGACGGGGCTGTCATTTGGCAAGACAGCCAAGAAACAGAAAAACAGGCTGGGTACCCCTTTTTCCTGTCCTCCATGGTACTCATTCAGGCACTATTATAACATTTTTCAAATTATAATGCAGTTCAACTCAATCGTTCATTCCAAACATTCTCCTAATTGTGTGTGCCAAGTATTGTGCCAGACCCTGAGATCATGAAATTCGGATACCCGTGTCCTGGAGGTGCCAAAGCCAGGGACCACGTGGCACCTACAAGGCATTGCAACATGGCCAAGTGGAGGTTAGAGGCATGTACTGGGTACATTAGAGGCAGAGAAGAGTGATCCATGTCTATTTTGCCACTAAAGGTTTCTTATGTTTTTCAATCAGTGAATTCCATTTCTAACCATGTCAGATATGTGGTAGCATCATAATGTTGCCAAGTAAACCAACATCCATGACATTTAAAAGCTCAATTATTTTATATTTAAAAATGAATTGAATGCTTAGATGATTACTTGCACATGCATTATAAATAGCTTTAATATTTAAAGAAAAGCCACGCTTGCTAATAAAGGACTGCAAATCTCATTGGAAGAACAAATAAGCACCTGAAAATAATTACAAGAAAGAACGTCTTGAAGTGCAATGGGTAATATGTGGTATGGAAGCTGGGACCTCAGCAGAGAAGATTTGATAGTCACAACAAGAAAAGTGCAGTCCTAGCAGAGGTGACTCCATTCATCATAAGGCAACGCAGCAACAGGAAATCAACATGGCACATAACAGCTGATGAAGAGTGGCTTGAATAAACTGGACATTAGGTGAAGGGTATCAGGTTCAAATTGCCACAGGTAGAGAATGTCACTTCTTGACTTGTTCGAAAAAGGAGGTAAAAATATAGATTATTTGTACTTTGTGTGGTTTTAACTATTTAAATAACAACATTTGTAAAACAAAAAACAGTGAAGCTAGGTTCAAGGTTAGGGCTTGAGCTTCAGAGCTACATGACCAAGTGACACCTGACTTGTCCCCTCATTTGGGCAGGGGTCACAGTGTATTTTCAAACATACACAGAGGGAAAGGGGAATGAATATTTTCAGGAAATGAAGCTTCCTGAAAGTGGAGAGTAAGGAGAAGCACTGAGGGGCTCAACATTCTAAGGGGTAAGAGTCATGAGAAAGGGAGTTTTGAGGAATCAAGAGAACTGACCAGCAGGGAAGAGAAGGAGGTGAGAGAGTGAGCAAAGCCAAAGAGCCACAACCATTTCTCCCCTCCCTCTGGTCCCAAAATGCTCTCAGGACTTTGGTACATTGTGTAAGTTAGTTTTATCTTCCCAGCAAATCTAGACGGTAATAATCATCTCTTATTTGAATATCTCAGCATGACCAATCATATAAACACAAAATGAAAACAAATTAAAAGCAGAGAAAAATCAACCTTTGTTGAATACAACTGTGAACTGTAATTCCATCTATTGCCATCAATTTTTAAAGAAAGGGAAGAAATCACTGAGGTAGAGAGGCTCCAGCCACACATGGAGGAATCCATGTCTCTTACTACTTGATCATCAGGACTGTGTACCCACAAACTGCTTCAGCATGCATGGAAATTACCACAGCTTGTCATTCTTCAGCTTCCTTTTACTGTTGAACCACCAGCATCTCTATTTAGAATGTGGCAAATACTGACACCCATTAGGTGCATTTAGTGTTCAGATTCCAATTACAAGAATCAGAGTATCAAGTCTCTGGAAAACTCTAGATGCTTCTCTGCTCAGTGTATGTTAAAACTGGAACAGAAAATAAAGGGGTGGGTTGTTCCAAAAGACATTCGAAATGAGACTTTTAGCATTTTTCACATGGAAATTACTAGACTGTGAAACAATCTGAAGCTTCTTAAAACTGTTTAAATGTTTTTAGATTTCTCTAATAATTTCAAATATTGCTGTTTAACACTCCTTCTCAAAATGTGCAATGGATTATGAATCTCCTTTAGTTTTTAAGCTTTATGTTACCAAAATGATACATTTCTAGTATGCATTATTGCAGTAACCCCATGAAAGAACTGATGAGAACTATGACGTAAAAGTTTTTTGTAGCATGGTCTAGTTACATGCAGCTCATTAGAAGCTTCATTATATTTCAACCTAAAGAAAATAAAGAACAAATTCCGAGGTCTCAGGATTTAGTATTTCATATATACAACTGAACTATTTGAGTGATGACACAGAAAAAAAAACAGTTACGAAGTTAACAGAAGATTCGGGGTATAATGTATGGTAAAACCCATCGAATGGGTTTAAGTCAAGATGGGCTTTGTTAGGAGATTTAGCATGGACTGAAATTCAACTCTGTCAATCACACAGTAAGACACATAAAACAAGTCAAAGGCAGGAAACAAGAACTATGTTGAGAATATACGGGCCTCTCAAATATTATACTGCTTAGCAGATCTGAGATTACAATCTTGGCTCACTTACTGTTATACAACTGTGGGCAAGTGAGAGCTCTCTATCTCAGTATCCTCATCTATAAAAAAAAAAAAGTAACATTAGTCCCTATCTCATAGAGCTGTTGAGAGAATCCAGGGGCTTATCAAAGGCAAAGATTTCAGGATAGTATCTGCTATGTAATTAGTGTGAAAACATACAAGCTATTCTGAGTATAAAATTGATCAACCAGGACAGTTCAACATGGCAGATGGAAGGAGGTTCGAATAAGATACCAGCATACTCCAGCTGGAGTGGTATGTATGATAGATGTGATTATATGTAATGACTTTTAATAATTTTATATATAGGGCCTCCCAGGTGGACTAGGGGTTAAGTCTCAGCACTATCACCACTAAGACCTGAGTTCAGTACCTGGCTAGGGAGCTAACACACACATGGCGCAGCAGACCTCTTCTGTCTGACCCACTGCTCCCCTCAGGAGCATATGTCAGTAAATTTGCCACTCTGTCTCTGGTGAATCCTTTCATTCCCTGCACTCTGGCCTACACCCCAGTTCTTCTAAGTAAAATAAATAAAATATTTAAAAAGTTAATAATTTTATACATATATATGCACTGCTCGAATAAAAGGCATTATCCAAAGTAAACATAGTAGCTTAAGTCTTGTTTAGATCACACAGTTAAACAAACAGTACAATCATGTGTTGAGTACCTACCTGGAAATTTATCTACTTCAAACATTAGGAACTAGGATTTAAGAAAACTAAGTTCTACATGTAATTTAGAGATATGGGGAAAAACCCTATCTCTCTCTGCTCCACTCCTCCTTCACTATCAGACAGGAGGAGAAAATATTTGACTGACCCAAATCACATGACTGTTTAGTATATCAAATTAAATATTAAAAAGAATAGGTGACAAGTAGCACAAAAATGTTGTATCACCCCCTAGAGCCGAATAAGCCTACCATCAACAGATAGTGCTTGAAGTGTGCAGGGTCCTTTTCTAAGTGCAGTGAAGATGCTCGATTTGTGTACTCCACCCAGAAATTTACATTTGTTTATATTGTTCTCTGTAGCTAGTGAGTCTACTATTTTATATGCCAAGAGTGTCCTTTATTTCAACTTCAAAATTTTTTTTTTCCTCCTGACTCATTTTAACTTAAAGCATTAGAACAGCTCATTAAGAAAAGCCCAAAACTCAAATTTGTGAAATATGTTGCTGGTAGATTCACTGTAATATTTGAATGTTTAAAAATCCTATCTTGCCCACCCACACAAAAAAAAATATGAAGAAATACTGAGGCTTGTGTAAAATCATGTGGTTAAATAATGAGGCACTATAAAAATGTTGGCTTCCTTTCTCGTATGTTCAAGGGATGCATTTTTGAAACCATTCTCAAAACAACTGAAATTAAAACTTGGACACATTTGCTGGGATACAAAGCTAGGTGTTTAGAGGAATTTTTTTTTCCTTTTTAAGGAGGTGAGAAAGGAAGATAAACTACCTCAGAATAAAATCAGAAAGGAATGTGATAGCAATGAAAAAACACTTTAAAATGTACAAACCAAATTAATATCTCATCAGATTTTAAATTCCTGCCAGCAGCAGATCTCTCATCTTGGTTATTCCTCGTGGTTTTCCTTTTTTGGTAACTTGTCACCCTTTCACATTAAGGTGGAACCAGAGAATTTAATAAACTTCAGTCCTGAGTATTGGTTCAATCTGACCAAATGCTGGAAAATGCATATCTCTCCACTCAACTAGAAGGAAAAGCTTACGTAAGTAATATACATCTTGCCCTCCACTCAACCATCATCCAAGGAAAACAAGTAGAATCTCTTAATCCCTTCACACTCCAAATAGAGTAGAGCAGGAACCAGAAAACTTTTCCTGAAAAGGGCCAGATAGTAAATATTTGAGGATTTATGGGTCATATGGACTCTGTCTAAACTATTCAACTCCACCACGGAACAAAAGCAGCCAGAGACAATACCAAGATGATTAAGTCTGGCTATTTTCCAACACAACTTTATTTATGAACACTGAAATTTGAAGTTAATATCATTTGCATGTGTCACTAAACATTGTTCTTCTTTTGATTTTTCCCACAATAACTTAAAAATCTAAAAGCTATTCCCAGCTAAAGGTCCTACGAAGAGGTGGCAGGCCATATATTGTCTACATGTCATAGTTTGCTGACCTCTAAGCTAAAGAATAATTGAAATCATGGGATATACTGAAGGAAGAAATGCAAAAAAAAAGAAAGGGTTTCATTTTGTAAACACCAAATGGTAACATTTAAGCTTAAGGAGACAGTGATATCTTATATGCACCATCTGGCTGTGTGCAAAAGACAAATATCAAATGAATATGAGAACGCTGGAATTTAGTTATCTCAACATGAGGACACATTTCAATGTTTTTCACATTCTGTTGATAAATGAAGAAATATGACTCCTCATCAGCTGTCAATAGGTCAAAGCTCCATCCTATTTTAACAATCTTTTGATTACAGATGGCGCTGACTTGTCAACGAAAAGACTGCTTGAAAGAAGGAAGAGAGAATAATTTTACAAACAACGCATTTTGGTTAAAACCTGCACAACGTGTATGGCTAGTCCTAGGGTCTGATATCTTTACTCAAATCTATAAAGATAGCATTGTCATGGCTGCCTACATAGTTTGCTGATAAAAGTAAATACAGTTAGCTGTGCCATGGGCAGCAAGCCCACTCTCAGGCTTATCAGCAGACCCTCAGAGGTTGTTACCTGCTTTGCAAATGGGGCTAATACTACTGCCTTCATGGATTGACAGGGGCAATGAAAGATGAATGTGAGAGCACTTTAAAAACCAAAGCACAAAAAGAGATGCCTTACTCCTACAAAGCAGAAAGTAGCATTCATCTTTTACATAGAATGGTGCCATTTAACTTAGGACTAAACTGAAATAAGAGACTCCTAAGAGAGAGCCAGCCAACCCACAAGAAACTTAAAGGTAAACTTGACCAATAAGATGTCCTTTATTAAAAAGCAGGATAGGTTTTTAACTTTCTTACCATTAGTATCACAATTAAAAACTTTTGTAAAGAGTATTGAAAATTACATGGCCAGTTTCCTGTAGAAAAGTATATTTCATACAATTTGTCTCCCAGATGAAACAGGGAGAAAGTGCCCTTTGAGTTTTCTGTAGACAGTCATAAAATACCTTTAAAGCAAAAAGCAGTGTGATATGTGGAGTAGCACATTAAACACTGCAATGTGCAGAGGAATAACCACCAAAGATGTTGAAGTACTATTGTTAGTGAAGTATCAGAAGTAGTTCTGATCTGAGCTATTTCTTATACCCTTGATGGTTTAGGTCATGACAACCAAACTATGATTGCCCTTTTATGTCACATGAGACAACAGGGGGCTTCCAGAAGCATAATTATTGCTGTCATTTCCATGCTTTAAAATCTTTCAATGGCTACCTTTTACTTCCAGTTCAAGCCACTGATTTTAAAACACAAGATTCTTCAAACTAGCTGTCTAGAGATCTACCTACAGAGCAAACCTACCTACCCGCCACCTGAGCCATCCTAAAGTTTCTGGTGTCCCAGCACCCAGATGTCCGTAGCAGAGCTTGTCCCTCCTAGCTGTTATTATGTTCATCATAATCCCCCCCAACCAAATAACAGAGACCCCATGAAGAAAACAGATCAGATCTTCTCTGTATTCACAGTGCTCAGCATGAGCACTCAACACAATGGTTGATTTAGATCTACTCAATGACTAGCAAATTCAGTATTAAATTTCTGTCAGTTTAGACGCACTGAAACACAAGTCCATCTTGTATGTTTTAATGCAGGAAAAAGATTTTGCTACAAACAAAACTATTTTAAATTACAAAAAACTTCATTTCTAAATTTGGCTTTCTCTAAGAAATAATATGTGTACTTCTCATCTTTAAGTAGAGATGAGGGTTGAAGGGAGAGACTAAATATTGTAGGAACTCAACTTAAAATACATATGAAGTCACAAGATCAATATAGAAAGAATACTGCCAACAGCAGAGATTATTTTATATATAGACTCATGGGAGTTACTAGAACGAGAAGGCTATTTATTTCTGAATGTGTTACATAATTTGTCTAAACTTGCAAAGATAGTGTCAGAGCTCAAAACAGAGCACAGAGTTTCTTCCAATTCAGTGTTTTGAACGATGTGATTTATTACAAACTGTTTTTCTTTTTGGAAGATAAAAATCTAATGTCTTGAAATACTAATGGGATTTAAAACAATTAAGTGGACCATGCATTTCATGGTTCAAAATAGTCAAAGAAACTTTGAGGTCCTTCTAATACCGTAATAGTTCTATCAGTATCACATGGGTTTTTTTTTTTTTTTAAAGAACTGTCTAGTGAAAAGAATATTCCATTGGAATCAGTATCTTAGACACTGATGCCTTGCTAAATAATTATGTGACTTTGGGGAAGTACTTCTTTCATAGGCCTCAAAATGCACTTTTGTCGTGGGGGAGGAGAGAAAGGAAGAGCAGAGGAGATAAGGAATGGAATCAATTAGGTTTCTTCCAGATCTATGTATAAATTTTTAAATTAGTTTAAGGGAACTTCTACATGCTTGACAGAGAACTTGTGCTGTGAACACTACACACACATGCACAGAGGTTGATCAGTGAAAGTGTTTATTGAACAGAACCTTCTCTCTCTTAAGAACTCTTTGAAATATATAGTTATTACTCATCTTCCTTGGCATAAAGCAACAAACCACCACTTATCTTTATCTGACCTCTGTCTACATAATGAAGAGAGTGGGTATATGTAGACTGTAGACTATGTCCAAGTTAATAGAAAAGAATCCCTTAGTTATTCTATAATCATCATCTATACTGGGTCAATTAAAAACAGTAATAGACATTGAAAGGACTGTCCTTTGATAAACAGTAACCTATCAAGTGACTCCTTCCTAGATGATCACATTTAACATCTCATCAAAAAATGTTTCTCCGGCCTCCCCAGTGGTGCAGCAGGTTGAACACAGCGCTATGAAGCTGTCCACAGCCTCTTCAGCGCGGGTTCGATTTCTGGCTGGCCAGGGAGATTCCCACATGGCATGGCAGACCTCTCCTGTCTCACCCACTGCTCTCTTCAGCAGTATATTTCAGTCAGTCGGCCTGTTCTGCTCCCCACTCTGGTGAATCCTCTCACTCTCCCACACCTCTGGCCTATAACCCAGCTGTTGTATAAATAAAAAAATAAATCTAAAAAAAAAATGTTTTTCTATCTTTACACAAATTTAAATGTTAAAGTGGCTAATAAATAGGAATATCTTGATTAAATGTAAAATAGTTTTACTTCTTAGCTGATAAGGTCCCTCAATACAAACTGAAAAGCTTTCAAGGAAACATGGTCTGCAACAAAGAACACAGGTTGTCATTAGATACACGTTCCAGTGTCTCTGCTACATAACTTTACACAAGCTGTTTAACCTTACTAGGCCTCAGTTTACTTGCTTCTAATAGTTCTGTACCTACTACACAAGCTGTTGAAAGCATTTAACGAAAGGAAAGTGTTTGGTTGTTAGTGGTAGGTACATGGTTATATTTCACAGAAGAGCAGCTAATATTAGGCCTCCCTCCTAGTTTCAAAGATTCTGAGACACCTGGGATATTTCAATCAATTCATCTGTATTAAGCGCCTGTGAGATACCAAGACATTAAGAGTGCACTTTTGACACTGACTACTAGCTACTTCTCAAGTCTTCCTACTTCTGCTTCTGTGACATCACTCTCTGAATAAAGTAACATATGCATATATGCAGAGTATCTGTTAAAAAGTGCAATTAGGGCCTCCCCGGTGGCGCAGCGGTTGAGCGCTGGGTTGCAAAGCCGCCCGCAGCCTCTGCAGCGCCGGTTCGATCCCCAGCTGCTCCCCGGCCACCGGAGGAGGAGGGTCCCACATGGCGCGCAGACCTCTCCTGCCGCCTGCTGCTCCCCTTAAATAAATGCTAAAAAATAAATTAATAAAATAAACGGGACTTCTTTAAAAAAAATAAAAAATAAAAAAGTGCAATTAATATGAAAGAACCATGCCATTCAAAGTCATATACTGAGAATTAAGTAATTTTCCACTTTCCTTTTGCTTCAGCCTTCTTAATAGGCACTTCCCACTCGTCCCAGAGTAATGATTTCCTGTAGGTCAGTAAACTGCAACATTGAGTGCATTCACTTACAATAAGGATAACCTAGCATACTCCTTCTTATATGTATATTCTCTTTCCAAGGCTGACTTACAGTCACTGGTCTCATTATTTCTGAGAAAAGGGGTCAACTTAGCCAAAATGCACTTGTTAGCCCCCCACTGGGTGTCTCTCTCTCTAAGGAGGATCTTGTAGATACACAGTAAGGTATTACTGAGTGACTATCCATACCAGTGGCCAGCACATTTCTGGTTTACACCCAACATCCCTGCAGTTATTAATAGCAGTCTCTTTCACTTTCCAAGTTGAGTAACACATGATATAGTCATTTTATTGTCATAGACATTATTTATAATGCTTGCCCTAGAGCTTGGAAAAAATGCTTGGGGCCATCTACACTCTTGCCTCATCCTTGTGCACTGATAGTCTGCAATGAAAAAATGTACAAAATATTTGTAGACTCAAATTCCCCCACAAGTAGTTAAAGTTGTCTCAATAGGAATCTGCCTCAAGATGGACCCAATTCTCTTAAGGAAGTGAAAAACTGAAAGGTAAATTACTAGGTCACAAAAATCATACAACTTAAGGACAAAATACACATTTGCAAAAATCAGTCTATTGATACTTGTCAAGAGTCATGCCCTTTTAGTTAATAATTCAGATAATTCCATGAATTCTAATTTCTAAACCCATATATTTCTATTTCTGATAATGGCAAAACTATACAACCAATCACCTTAGCTAGAAACCTTAGAAGCAAACTTTATCTCTGTACAATTGTTGCTAAGACCCATTAAATGTCTGGGGATGTTTTTTGCTTGTCACAGTGATTTGCAAGTGCAAAGGACAGTTAATGGGGATGGATTAAGGATGCTAAATGTGCAGCAATGTAGGACAAGTTGTCTTGCCAAAATGCCAACAGAACCCTAAACAAGAATTCCTATTCCCCAAACACATTGTTTTTTCATGTGGTTCCTTCTTTCTAGAATCTAATTAACCTCCCTCCACAAGTTCTGCCTCCTTTCAAAATAATATTGTCATTGAATGATACAATTCAAACTCTCTTTTTATCTGAAGACGTCACCCGATTTAATAGTCATGTACAATTAGTTGTACAGTATTAATGGGAGATAATTAAATCACTCCCAAACCTGCTAATATCACCCTTAATGTATTGACTTGTGATTAAATTTCTTACCTATTTGTAATTTCACTCCATGCTCCCTTTTTATTTATCTGCTCTACCTACTAATATTTGAATTCCTTAAAAAAAGGACTATTCCTTTGGTATTTTTAACTCCGATTTCCACTGCTTTTCTAGACATTAAGAATCATTCTAGGGCCTCCCCAATGACACAGCAGTTGAGCGCTGGGTTGTGAAGCTGCCCGCAGCCTCTGCAAAGCCGGTTAGTTCCCGGCCGCCAGCAAGGGTCCCACATGGAGTGCAGACCTCTCCTGCCGCTCCAACTGCTCCCCTCAGCAGTGTACTTCCTCGGTCTGCCTGCTCTGCTCTCCCCTCTGGCTCTGGTGAATTCTCTCACCCTCCAGCGCTTCTCTGACTGTGCCCAGTGCTTGTATAAATAAATGAATAAATCTTAAAAAAAAAAAATTATTCTATAAGTGATTTTTTGGGTTAGAAGTTGAAAAATTATTCCTCCATTCCTATGTACAGAATGGCATTCCTTTATAGCCTTTTCTTAGAGGTGTTAAACTTTGAACTCAGAATACTTTAAAATAAACTAAATATTTTAATTATATTTTTTATCAGTAAGTGCTTTACAAAAATCTCAAATGCACTATGAAATTCCACATTAAACTGAGATATTATAATCTCAGGGAAAAAGAGGAAAAAGAAACTATAGACAGTATGGTAAACTGAAGAGAATGCATACCCAGAATAAAAATTTTTAATTTTTTTTTTCCGTGTTGAGCAAAGTATGCCTTATAAAGATCTAAAAGCTTGTGTTTGAGATATTGGCTAGGTCACCTAAAACAAGTGAGTGTGTGTGCAATATACACTTCCCTACAAAAGATAAAGTAAAAATGCTCTTATTCTACCATTCACATTTTTAAGTTTAAGCTTAGACTATTTGTGTATAAGATTATTCAGTCAAAATTTTCAACTTAGCTTATCCCCTTAAGTCATATAAACAGTAGAATAAAAAAGAGTGGGCAGCTCACTTGCACAGCTGTTCATTTCTGGGGCTCGGTGTCCATAGTACCCCGATGGGCACGAATGCAGGCACTCTCCATACTGGCGCATGCCTTCTCTTCGAAGAACGAAGAACAACTTCTGCTGACATCGGCTGCACCCATTGTCCTTTGAACAAGACAAACAACCCTTGCAAATGGGATTTGATACATAGCTAGCTGTAAAAGGAAAAAAAAAAAATGTTCAAATATCAAGCTGATCAGACTTTTGGCCAATATAACATGCAGAGATACGTTTCTTGTATGTCTTTAATTATCAATACATAGAAATGCTAACTAAAATATCTTCTGCCACCCCCACCCCAAAATGGTTAATACATAACTAAGAAACAAAAGGAAGTCAGAGGCAGAGATGGATTGAAACTTGAAACTGAATGGCTCGTGGAGATGGTAGGCGAGACAGAGGCAGACCTGATGGCAGGGTTGAATCACAGCCAAGAAATATGCCTGTGAAGAGCTGACACTTGGCTCTTATGTAGACAAGTTGTGAGGGTTGTTTGTCCATGAAACCAAATACTAGAACTCCCTCACTGCAACTGACCAGAAAAGAGGATTCCAACCCTGGATTAGGGAAACTCAGCAGGTAGCCCCTCTTTTTTTTTTTTATAGACTCACATTGCACTTATGGCTCACCTTAATCCAGCATGATCTAATATCCACTGTTACCTTACTTGCAAAGCCCCTATTTTCAAATGTCATAGTATGAGACTCTTGGTAAACATTTGGGGGTGGGAATTAGGGTGGGAGAGGGTGGGACACTAAACCCTTCAAGAGATGATGGGAGTGTCCTAACTTGATTGGATACTGGTTACACAAATGTATATATTTACAAAACTCACACTATGTATTGCACTCTGTGCAATTTTTTTTTAAATTTATTTATTTATTTATACAAGCACTGGGTACAGTCAGAAGCGCAGGAGGGTGAGAGAATTCACCAGAGTCAGAGCGGGCAGCAATGCAGGCAGAAGGACCGAAGTACACTGCTGAGGGGAGCAGCGGGCAGCAGGAGAGGTCTGCGCACCATGTGGGACCCTCCTCTGGTGGCCGGGGAGCAGCCGGGGATCGAACCGGCACTGCAAAGGCTGTGGGTAGCTTCACAACCCAGCGCTCAACCACTGCGCCACCGGGGAGGCCCACTCTGTGCAATTTTTTAAAAAAATATTTTTAAAAAAATAACATGTATAATTTATAAGTAAAGGATATCTCCATGTTTCAAAGAAAAAGAAATGGATAGGAAAGCCATCACATAACAGAATAACAGTTACTTTTTTTTGGACAGCTTTTTTTAAATTGCAGTAATATTGCATTATAATCTTATTTAAGTTTCACTTCATTGAAAATCAACGTGCATTACATCTCTTCAGGAGATTCTACAAATTATAATGGGTGCTATCTATAAAACATTCTTTCCTGTTTTGGATTTTTATTTTAACTACATAGACATGCTTAGTAACATATCCTCTGTCCCCCACCCCCAGATCACGTCTCCTTCTACAGGCCTCACTCCTATGATTTCCACTAGTATCATAACTCAGGCCCTTATCTCTTCTCACTTAGTCACTTCCATCTCACTTTACTTCCCTCCATTCTTTTTGTTGGGTCAATTTTCCTAATGGACAATGGAGCAGGGATTACAGGCCTACGTAAATATTGAAATAGAGTAAAAAATATCAATTTTTAAGTGCTACCCAGTGGTTAAAAAAAAGCTAACTTAAGTGAAAAGAAACAAAATATTGTTTCTAGCCCTCCTAGTATAAATTTTAGAAATAATGCAATCTGAAATCCCAACATAATTTCTAAAATATGAAAAATTCATGTAACTTTTAGTAATGACTACACCAAATAAGGTCATAAATATAACAAGATACAGGAGAGCACACTGACTTCATTTTATTGGTTAACCCACAGAAGAAAGGAGGAGAAAAAGAAAACTCATCAATTATTGAAACTTACAGCTTTGAGACTACATCCTATTCATCCTTCTGATAATCTTTACAGCATTAAAACTAACATCAGGCTGCAAGTATTCAGACCAGCAGCTCCACAACAAAGTACATTGTAAACCACACCCTCCCTTCATTTCAATGATTCAAATTTCAGTAACACTCAGTAGCTAGTCTTTCTTCAACTCTCCAAACAGTGACTAAGTCTACCTTTCAGAGAAGGGACCAAAGAACAAGTCACTACTGGCCAGGTATCAGGGCCAAGACAACGCCTTAAATTGGCCGCTCAAACCTACCTCTGTCCACCTATTCTAGCACTTTGTTCTATCAACATTCATCTATATATGTTGACTCTAATTCATAGGCATTCTCTTTTTTTTCCCCATGAAGTTTCAGTTTAGAGGGTTTTTTAATAATTTATTTATATATGTATATATATATATATTTCACATCGTGTTCATTTTTGAATAATACTTGCTTTCTCCACTCAGGTGTAGTCCCTGTAAAATTCCCACCACTGATTCACCCCTGCACCATCACCATGGTCCTTTGTGCTCTTCCCTCCCCTGTTTTGATCCCTCTCCCTTACCCTCCCCTGCAGAATGTTTGTAGACATTCTCATGCTTGCAAATCTATTCTTCCAAATAATTTTTTATTTACTACCATATTTTCTTAAATTTCCAATTGTGGAGAAAACCAATCAATTCAGATGAAAACTCACTTCCTCAAAATAACTCCTAATAAAGATTTTAGCCAACAACTTTTCATAAATCCCTGTATAAATGTATGCATATGTTTATGTAATATGTGACTAGTATTTTTCATAACTATGATTATACTTTATGTGTTGTGTCATAAGTGGCTCAATTTTAGTGAAGCTGTGAACATCTTTTCATGGCAATGAACCAGAACAATGTTATTCTCATATTTCTTGGAAAAGTCAGTTTCATTTACCACCTCTACTTAACCACCACCCAATTAATTATCCCCAAAACCACTTTTATGAAGACCACAACCAGTTTGCTAGTCCTCAATTCAAAAGGTCATTCTCAGTTTCCAGTCCTCTCAACATTTCAGTTCCTATAGTAAACCAAGGCCCTGTATTATGATAAATCACACTCCATAGCAAAAAGAGAATTACACAGCCAAATCAACACAAAGACTTTTTGTTTCATCTTGTTTTTATGTATCAGAAGCTAGCTTTCATCTTTACCAGAAAAAGTTCACAGTCAACAAATTGAGCTCTACTTTCTTCGAAAGGTATTCTTAAAATCATTTAAAACAGGGCCTCCCCGGTGGCGCAGCGGTTGAGCGCTGGGTTGCAAAGCTGCCCGCAGCCTCTGCAGCGCCGGTTCGATTCCTGGCTGCTCCCCGGCCACCAGAGGAGGGTCCCGCATGGCGCGCAGACCTCTCCTGCCGCCCGCTGCTCCCCTCAGCAGTGTACTTTGGTCCTTCTGCCTGCTCTGCTCCCCGTTCTGGCTCTGGTGAATTCTCTCACCCTCCCGCACTTCTGACTGTACCCAGTGCATGTATAAACAAACAAACAAACAAATAAATAAAACATGCCTCTATAAAAAAAAATCATTTAAAACATTGCTTCATTTACTTCAGCCTTGACTGAATTAATGAAAATGAATTAGGAAATACTTACCCGAGTCCATATTTTAGATGATCTTTATAACCCTGCACATGAGGAATTCTCTTAACACAAAAGTGATGTGAGCCACACCCACCCTAAGTGCTCTCTTTCCTTCCCCCTAACTTCTATCATCATTACTAGTGCTCCTCATTGCTAAAGGATAAGTGCACACCTAGTCTTTGCAATCTGAATAGACTTTTCAGTTTAACTGACCATTGTCCAGTGTCAACTACCCTAGTGGCCTCCCTGCTATAAATCAGTAGCTTAACAGTTCAATAAGAACTACATCTGTTAGGTAATGACTATGCCTATCACTGTGTTAAAAGTCAGGAAAAAAAGTAGACCTTTAAACATGACGAGAGAAACCTACTTTGTCAGGATGTTAATAAGTCAAGCGGCTCTGCCTATTACTGAGATTTAATTCAAGTGTGCAGGTGAATAAACAGATCCTAATTTCCAGCTTTGATGACCATGTTTATTTGCTCTCTCTGTAAGCTTCAACTTTTCCAACCCTAAAGCCTGCTGAGATCCAGAGCTTCATCATTCCAACCAAAACACTTTTCTAAATCTAGACACACCCAAAATTCTAAAGATGAAACATATCACATAAAATACTAAAAATCCTCAAAAAGGTATACAGTGATACTACCACAAACTCACACATATCTCCTTGGCAGGGAAAGAGATAAGTGGATAAAGAAAAGATCATGAGGTGGATACCAGGAAACAAAACCTGCATCACTAACAAATATATTAAGAGGAAGAAACTGCATTAAGTGAATACTCTTAATTCTAATTGAATGGTGTTCTTCTTAATTGCTAACTTTGGTTTTTAAATGAGTTCTAGTATTATAAGTTTGATCTTTTGTTAAATCAAATCCAGTTATTAACATTTATCCCATAGCACATTTTATGTAGGTGTTAAATGTCCATCTGTTTCTAATATACTCCTAACACTTTTTTAAAGTGCTCCCCTGTTTCTGGAGTTAGCCCTTGCCAAGTAAAAAGAAATTTAAATTCTTTCTTGGTGAAAGCATTCATTCCTGACAAAAGGTACAGGTTTCTAACTCTGAAAATAATGGGGCTGAATAATGGCTATTGGTATATTAGCCTCACTCCAATTTGCTGGTTAATTGTACAAGTCCAACAGATTTTTTTTAATGAAAAATTACTATTTACATGATCAATCAAGCATGTCATAAAATTACTAATATGTGCTTCTACCTAATCCCGAATTCAAGACATATATTTAAAATAAAAACCTTCTTTCTGGCACCAATAACAGGGAACTTACATGTTGGATCCTATACAAGTCGAGTGGGACACAGATGCTCCACTTGAGCTTGGCAACACTGGGATAAAATCCTGTAATCATGTGTTCTACAAAGCTCAAACTCAACCACACAATCAAGGTCATGAATTAATGAGCTACATGAGATTTGACCAAAATAAGAAATGCCTATCTTAGAATATTTTGCTTAGTTTGACATAAAATCTAAATATTTATAGAAAATATTAGCATAAAACATGTAATCTGATCTTTGCTGCAAAGACAATACATTTTAACAGCCTAG